CTGCCCCTTTCCCTCCGCACATAGGAATCATGCGGGGGCGTTGAGGTCGAGGACTACGAGGAGGTTCGATCGAAAAGGAGTACGAGGAGGAGAAACGATGATAGCAGGATGAGGAGGTGGAAGAGCAGGGGGATGAGAAGGAGGAGGAGGAGAAGGTGGAGGAAACAACAATTCTATTTCAAAGGAACATGTTTGATGATCGTGAAGCGGACGGATAGTGGGAGCAGATGAAGGGGGATGGCGTAAAGGTGGCAAACATCGAACATAATCCAAAAAGGTATGATGCTGGCCAGGGCCGAGCAGAGAGAGAGAGAGAGAGAGAGAGAGAGAAAGTGTGTGTGCGCGTGTGTGTCATTATACGTAGCCCCCCGCAGATGCGGATAAGAGTGAGGGAGCGGCGGGGACGTCGGCAGTTTGCCAGACTCTGGAGAAGCCCGTCGCAGGCGCCAGAGTTTCACACATTATACAACGAGCCCTCCGGAGGCGCCGATTTTTTCGTTAAACCAATGTGGGTAGGTCGCGGGTGGGTCGCGGGTGGGTCGCACATCGGTCGCGGGTGGGTCGCGGGTGGGTCGCGGGTGTACACACGACGAATGAATGGAACAGGGCAGGGTTGTTTAGTCAACGCCCAGGGCCGTTTTAGTTAACGTCAACTATCGGGTCGGTTATTTTTCTTCCCTTAAGGGTGGCGCGCGGGGTGGGTCGCTGGTGGGTCGCGGGGTGGGTCGCGGGTGGGTCGCGGATGGGTCGCGGGGTGGGTCGCAGGGTGGGTCGCGGGTGGGTCGCGGGGTGGGTCGCGGGGTGGGTCGCGGGTGAGTCGCGGGTGGGTCGCGGGGTGGGTCGCGGGTTTAGAAGGCAGAAAATCCATCCCATAATAATCATCCCCAGCGATTCGTGGCCCCATAGGGAGTTCCACCGAAGCCTCCAGTGGGACCGTCCGCGTGCGCCCCGAAAGCCCAATTTGGCATTTTCGCCCACCCAGTACAGCACTTCGTGGCCCCATAGGGAGCTCCACCGACGGCCCCAGTGCTACCGCCCACATGCGTTCCCCCCCACCCAGTGCAGTGCTTCGTGGCCCCATAGGGAGCTTCACCGACGAAGATGTTCACACGTGCGGTACCCACAATTGCACATTATTGGGTCCTTCGCCAGGATATTTCTTTTGACCCGGGAAAATTCCCTTGCACGGACCAGGGGGGGGGAGCCTGAAGCACGCCGCAGACGGTTTGCACGTGCGGAAGTCACGCACGTCGAAAGGCGCTTGCATGGTAGTATTCGTTTCAAGAGTGGCGAGGGGGGGGGGGGGGGGGCGAACGCCATGCAAGGTAAATTGCCGGAGTAAGACAATAGCTTGACGAAGGACCCAACCATGTGCAGCTGCGAGTGCCGCGAGGGACATGAGACGAAGGAGGGGGGCGTGCAAACTCCGAGTAGCGCACGCAGTATATATATATATATATATAGCCTTCTGCCACGAAACTTATGGAAGGCGTGCGGACATGAGTCGGGAGGACTCCTGCGGACGTCGCCATTGCGGCCTTCCGTGGGGCTCCTTATCGGGCCACGAAGCGTGTGAGTGGTGGGCCGAAGTAGCGTGGCGGTGCCATGCGACCCCTCCCGCTGAGCCCTCAAGTGGAGCCCCCTATGGGGCCACTAAACGTGTGAGGGGTGTGCAAAAATGGAGCGGCGGTGCCGAGCGACCCCTCTCACTGAGGCCTCAGGTGGAGCTCCCTATGGGGCCACGAAACGTGTGAGAGGTGGGCCGCACTGGGGCGGCGGTGCCATGCGGACTTTCCCACTGGGGCCTTCGGTGGAGCTCCTTATGGGGCCACGAAACGTGTGAGGGGTGTGGGGTGTGCCGAAATGGGGCGGCGGTGCCATGCGGACCCTCCCGCTGGGGCCTTCGATTGAGCTCCCTATGGGGCCACGAAACGTGTGAGGGGTGTGCGGAAATGGGGCGGTTGGTACATGCGGACCCTTCCACGGAAGCATTCGGTGGAGCTCCCTATGGGGCCTCGAAACGTGTGAGGGGTGTGCCGACATGGGGCGGCTGTGCCATGCGGACCCTCTCGCTGGGGCCTTCGGTGGAGCTCCCTATGGGGCCACGAACCGTGTGAGGGGAGTGCCGAATGGGGGCGGCGGTGCCATGCGGACCCTCCCGCTGGGGCCTTCGGTGGAGCTCCTTATGGGGCCACGAAACGTGTGAGGGGTGTGCCCAAATTGGGCGTCGGTGCCATGCGGACCCTACCGCTGGGGCCTTCGGTAGAGCTCCCTATACGGCCACGAAGCGTGTGAGGGGTGTGCCGAAATGGGGCGTCGGTGCCATGCGGACCTTCCCGCTGAGGCCTTCGGTGGAGCTCCCTATGGGGCCACGAAGCGTGTAAGGGGTGTGCCGAATGGGGGCGGCGGTGCCATGCAGACCCTCCCGGTGGGGCCTTCGGTGCAGCTCCCTATGGGGCCACGAAACGTGTGAGGGGTGTGCCGAAATCGGGCGGCGGTGTCATGCGCACCCTCCCGCTGGGGCCTTTGGTGGAGCTCCCTTTGGGGCCTCGAAACGTGTGACAAACAAAAGGATGGTTGGGGACAAATCAACAAACAAAAGGCTCCTTGCGTTGCCGGCCCATCCACAGCTACGCCCTGGTCTGCGCCTGCCGCGGCGACGGACCAAACGCCACAACGCCCTGCGCAACCAGGCCTCCTTCGACGCCCTGGCCGCGGGTCACGCCGGGGCGGAGTTGGGGCGCCCTGGGCCGCCACCTCCGCGCCCCGCCAGGGAGGCCACCCCTGGGGGCGAGCAGGGCAGGCCCCAGGTGGACGACAGCGGCCGCCGCCCTGCCGACGTCTACCTACCGCGGTGGCGCAATGGCACGGCGGCCGCCTGGGACTTTGCCGCCACGCCAGGGTTGCGCGCCGACCTCCTCGCCGCGTTGGCCGCTTCGTCAAGCGCGGCGACGGAGCGGCACGAGGAGTTCAAAAGGCAGAGACACCGCGCGGCTGTGCGCTGCGCAGGGCTTCGCCTTCATCCCCACGTTGGTGGAAGCCCGCGGCGGCGGGTGGGGCCGCGAGGCACGCAGGGCCTTCGGGGTCGGGTGGCTGACGCCACGAGGGAAGACGCCGCACTGGTTGCGGACCAGCACGCCGGGCGACTTCCTGTCTCCCTCTACAGGGATAACGCGCGGGCGGTGTTGCGGCGCCTCCAGACGCAGTCTGGAGGGGCGGGGGTGGCAGCGGCCCGCCTGGCCGCGGCCACGGCTGCCTCCACGGCGGACGCCGCGTGAGGTGCCCCGGGCGCTGCCTAGCGCCCCCCGCCCACCCCCCGCCTTTGTTGGGCAGCACGGGCGCCCCCCGCGCTCTTTCGCCAGCGTCGCCCCGGCGACCTCCCACGCGCGCCGTCCGGCCCTTCCTCGGCGGGGTGGTGGATGGATCCCGCAGAGAGCAATCCCTACCAAGCCGCAGCGTGCTGGGCTCGGTCGGCCACCCCGCCCAGGTCGCCGCCGTAGGGGCCGTAGCCTCGTCTCGGGTGGCTGTTCTCTCCCGGCCCATGGCCTGGCCCGTCTGCTTGCGATGGCTTCCCCGCCCCCCTCCTCCTCCCTCCCTTTCTGCTTGCTGCTTCACCCTTTCCGTTCCTCCTGCTCCTTGCTTGCTGTCCCCTCTTGGCCCCTCTTCTGCCTGCCCGCCCGCCCCGCCGGCCCTGGCCTCCCGCATGGGCGTCCGTCGTCGTCTGCCTGCTTCTCCCGTCCTCGTCCCCTTCCGCTGGGCACCGCAGCCTGCTCCGGACCAGCGTGGCGCAGCCTGTTTCCGTGGCCAGAATTTCGGTTGCAGGACAACGCCTCGGAGACAGCGAGGTCGACTTTGGATCTGCGGCTGTATGTGGCGGCGCCGGTGCTGATGTCCTCACTGTTCCCAGCTGCGCCGCTGGTCGCTTGTTCGCTCCAGCGGCTTCCCCCGGGTGCCCAAAGCCCCTGCGCCTCTGCGCACTCCTGTGATCCTGTACCGCTGCAGTTTTCATCTCCTCGCCCAGGCGTGCGAAGATCGGCGGCGAGCCCAGGGAGAAGCCGGGAGAAGTGAGAAGTGGCGGTTCCTCGATCTGAGAAGGCTCGGAAACCCCTTGGCCTTCAGAGTAGTTTTCTAAGCCTTCCCCGAAGAAGCGGAACACCCCATCAGATGCGCGAGGGCTTCTGAGAAGTTGAGCCACCTTCTGTGAAGGCCTCTTCTTCACTTCCCCCCCATCGCTCGCTGCCGAGTGAAGAAAACCATCGAGCACAAATGAAATTCTAACCGTAGTAAAGCAATGAAGACGTGGCTTCGCGGAAGTCCTCATTTTTGCACTCGGGGTAATAATTCTGGGCGGTATGGTCTGATAGATCTGCAGATAAAACCCACTATCCTTAATGTTGCTGGTCTTCCTAACTTAGGTCCCCTTCCAAAGGGTTTGGGGTCTTTTGTTTGTTAATTCGTACGAGCAAAAGGACAATCGTGTGGCGTCTGCTCGTTGCGGCCGCTGCGCGGGGGGGCCCGCCCGCTGGGCAAGACAGCACCCGAGCCAGGCGGGCAGAGGAGTACAGTGGAGGCCCATGCCAAGAAACACCCTGTTTGCCTCCAGGGTGCCCTGGGCTTCTTGGATTTCGATTGATGGTTTAGTTACGGGGGGGCGTGACGCTCTCACACCAAAAATCAGTGGACGTCCTGATGTCTCAGGGTTGGGGTTCTCGTGGAAGGTTTCTTGTGGACGGGCCTCCACTGTATTGCGAGCCAGGTAGGCGACGCAGAAACACGGGTTCGTCTGCGCCGGCATTGGCGCGCAAGCTGCCCGCGCAAGGTCGCGCGTAAGCGCCCTCGTCTCCAATGCAGCGCGCCGCGCCGGCAACCCGCGTAAGCCACCGCGGAAGGTCGCTACGCCATCTCGCGTAAGCCCCGTTTTCGATCTTCGCTCGGGTGTGGCCGCCGTCCCTCGCCCTCCGTTCCCCGCCGCACCCCTGTGACAGAGCTGGGGCGGGCAGGGATTCGTCCCGTACTGAGTGCCCGCGCCTCCCTCGCTTTGCCTCTCCTGCCTCGCCTTCCCTGCTCCGCCTCCCTTGCGTTGCGCCTTGGTGCACCGCGGCTGTCCACCAAATTGGTTTCTTGTGCCCGATGCGGGCTCGATGCAGATGCGGCGTGGATTTGGCGTGGATTCGACGCGGATTCGACTTGGATTGGACGCGGACTCGACGAGTCCGAAATGGATTTGACACGAATAGGGGCGCGGCTGGGCCGACAAGGTCCCCCGAAGATGCAACGTCACCTTCGCCGCCTTCCCCTGCTCTGCCTTCCTCTGCACCACTCGCAGGGGAGCCTGGCTCTTCCTCCTCCTCCTCCTCCTCGGAGGAGGAGGAGGAGGAGGAGAAGAGGGAAGGGAACCGCCAGGCGGAGGAGGCAGGATAGCTCGGTCCCTTTCCCGCTGCTCTGCCTGTGTCTGTCCGACTGTCTGTGCCGTTCTCCCTCTCCCTCACCCTCCACGTCTCCACACCCCCTCGCCACCGACCTCCCCCCCGCATCGCCACTTTCCTCGGCTCCCCGCCGCCTCCCCATCCCATCGCCATCGCCTCCTCGCCACCTCGCCTCCTCACCAGCTCTCTTCCTAGCCCCCCCCGAACCCCTGGCCACCTCCTCGCCGCCTTCCTCGCCTCCTCGCCTGCTTCCTCGCTCTCCTCGCCTCGCCTCCCTGCCCTCACCGCCACCTTGCCGCCCTCCTCGCCCTCCTCACGACGCTGCGCACCGCCACCTCGCCCCTACCCTCGCTGCCCACCGCCCTCCTGCACGATCCTCCTCGCCACTTCGCTGCCCCCGCTGCGCCTTCTCCCTCGAAGCAGAGCACAGCTTGCACAAGCAGACGCTGCACATGCTTGGATCGGTGCTGGACCGCCCTGGGCGGGGCCGGCGGCGCCGTTCCTTGTGCGCTCCGCTCGTCGGGTAGCGGGTCCAGCGTCGATCCAAGAAGGGGGTGAGGGGGGCGGAGGAGGAGGAGGAGGAGGAGGAGGAGGAGGAGGAGGAGGA